ATATATATATATATATATATATATATATATATGCCCATCAATCTAAACTGTTTTTTTTTGCCTGTATTTATAGTTGTATTTTTAAAGTTATCGTGTATTTCTCTATTTGAACATCAATATCGCACTCGTACGTACGTACACATCTCTGTATTGAACCCATTCTAAAGTTTTATATGTATGTGCGCGTGTGTATGGAGTATTGCTGTTAACACTCATTCGTTTCGAAAGGAATGTTGGCAACGTGCCAGGACCACTATATAGACGTGCGCAGCATCATACTTTTATAATGGCTGAAATCTTAAAAGTATGAATGCGAGTGTGTGTAATTGTCATTATTAATCCAGATTCTTTGAATGAATGAAAAATTTCCGTTGCATCCCTATGAAAGTGCGGTTAGTATAATTTAAGTGAGTCATTTTTTTCTAAACTTCAGTTATTTATGAATAACTCATTACCGAACTCTTCCTTTGAGGAAATTAATTCTTCCACTGCAGGGCTTTCAATTCTATAGCATAAAATAGAAATAAAATGTGATTTAACTTAAAAGCAGTTCATTGTAGTCCTATCTGTATAAAAGTGGTGAAGTGTTTATAAGGGTGTTAGTAGTGTCTTAGTTTTTAGTAAAAGCATTTGTGTGTGTGTGTTTAGTAATCCTCGAATTTAGAATCCAGATCTTGAAATATGGTATTAATATGTATCTATCATCTAAGTGAAACGTAATTAACTGTGATGGTCACCATGGTTACAAACCCATTTCTTGGTATTGTGTTCTGGTCCTAATCATTTTGATTCAAAAGGCTTCAACGAGCGTGGCCATGCGTGTCAAATTATTAGATGTATACTTCCGTTGCATTTCCTCCTTCCTTGGTCAATTCCGAACGTTTCGAGGGTGAGAGGAAACGCAGTAGTTTATATGGGTATATAATGCCAGAAAAAAAAACGTGTATTATTATTATGTCATTTTGTCGTGATTTCGATTTAACAGAGAGTTACAGAAAGAAGCAAAGATTTGTCAAACTTCGAAGCATTCAAATTTAGTTATGGTTGTGTTCCTAAGAGATGTCACTGCAGGCTTTTTTTTTTTCGTTTTAGATGTGTTGGCTTTTATCAATATTAGCGCCACCTCTAGGAAAATAAAGAAGCATTTTGGTCTCGTTTCAGTTGGTTTTTCAGTTGACCGTATAATGAGTACAAAATGGAACGAAAAATCGAACATTTTGCCATAATACACACGAGTTTATGATTTTTTATTGGAGCATCCTTTTAGGAAATGATGACCCTTCATTCATATATTCTAGAAGAGAGAGAGCAATGTTATGGAGAAATGGGCCTTTTTTTTGCATTTGAAAAGCTGTAATAATTTACCACCAATAGCAATTTTCACATATACTGTACACTACAGTTCTTTCATCGTATATATTTTAACGCATTTTTAGATTTCTTCCATATGCTTTATACATTGTATCTTACTGACCAATCATTTTTACTATGACGTTTGATCTACCAATGAGCATTCGTCTACCGTGCTGTTATTAATTAATAGTGTTAAGATGTATACACTATTGTTTGTGGCTGTTCTCTCTCTTCTTGGAACGATACCTTAACTTTAATTGAAACATGTATACATAAATCAGACAACGATACCTTAACTTTAATTGAAACATGTATACATAAATGAGACAACGAAAGTATTTACAAGTTTTGGTCGAGAACGTAAAATCGAATCGTTCCAGTAAGAGTACCGTATTTTTCGGTGTACAAGACGCACTTTTTTACCCCAAAATTTGATGTCAAAATCTGATTGCGTCCTATAGACCGAAGGTATGAATAATATATATATGTATATATACGATATGCACAAGCCATGTGTAAATATATTTAAATAGGCGTGCATAGTTTAGTTCAATTGAATATGTTATTTATAACAATAGTAGTTTTTTTTTTCTTTTAAAAACATAACCTTTTATTAAG